ACCAACGAATAGTGGGATTGAACGTCACATTATAACGCCCCCACGGCTGAAAGGGCGATTTTAAGGAAACAGAAGAAATGTAAGAGCAGGTATTATATCCTCTGTGGTTACATCAAAAATATCTATCTATAACAAAAATAAGTTAAGACTTTTAGTCTTTTCGTTTCATTATTTGATTATTATTATTATATTTTCTCTATTTTTAATGTAAACAGAACGTTAGATATCGCTTTAGTAGTTATATTACTCTCCTGCTATTTAAGAATATCTCCAACTAAAACTGATATTTTTACAAACTCGCTAGGTCAAAAACAAATAGCATCTCACATATGGGACAAGCAAATAAAATTTAGGTATTATCTACATAAGGAAGAATGATGGAGCACTCACTTCTGCTCCTAATTTAGAAGTTCTAATTTCGTTTTAAATGCGAGACTTGCAAATAGAGGTTAATTCCAATGGCTGGTGTACACCAGTGTTTCCCATCCTTGGCGGTACCGCCCCCTAGTGGGCGTTTAAAAAATTCAGGGGGTAGCAACTTTAAGAGAGCGGTGGGGGGGGGGGGAGAGAAACGTTTTGAGGGTCTCAAAGTTACAGTTGTTAAAATTAACCATAAGAATTGACTATTGTTGCCTTACAATTTTCATTTATTGGTGTGTTTACGTGTTTTACGCTCACCAAAAAGAAACCTATCATTCTATAGGTATTTGAAGAACTTGTAGCAATCCGCCACAATTTAATTCTTCGTATTGTTATCTGACACTGGGTAGCTTGTACATAATTGAATAAGTAGAGTTGTGTAAACATTTGTTTTTCAATTAGGTCTAAATATTTATTTGAAGGGGGCTTCAACGCTCATTGTTTGCTGAAGGGGACGCTGCGGCGAAAAGGGTTGGGAAACACTGGTGTACACAAAAGAATGTTAAGTCCTACGTACGAGATACTGTATTTGTGGGACCGTTCCTGTATTGCACTTACATAATAGTTGTATTTCTCTGTCCAATAATTTTGAAGCTACTTGTTGTTTAGTTTAGTTGTTTGAAATTAAATTTTATTGTATAGAAATGCTGTTGTGTTGAACTCTTTATCCTTTGCCTGCCCCCGGTTTAAGGACTTACAACACTAACATACATGATTTGTTTCCCTGCGGTGGACACAGCAGATAGCCCAATGTAGCTTTACTCTAACAAACAAACTTTTCTTTGCCCTTCCAACGGTTCAGCGGCAAGTCTGCAGGCTTATGACGCTAAAAATCAAATTTCGATACCCGTGGTGGGCAGAGCACAGATAACCCATTTTATAGTTTTCTGCTTAAAACAAACAAACAAACAAGCTCTTTCATTTAGATAATAAAATTAACATAAATGCTATGGTTTCTTTATACATGTATATATATATGTGTGTGTGTGTGTGTGTGTGTGTATTTATTTAATTTGTTACTTACATAATGTTTTTGCACGTAACCCAAATAAATGTGAGTATTTCAATGTAGGTAAAACTTTAGAGAACAGTGTGCACTCAATAACAAAAGTCATTAATGCATAATGGACTAATTATGCAATCATAACACTGATCTTACCTTCTATATTGGCTATTTTCTCTTTTGCCAGATTGTTCAATTCTGAGAGAGAATCTACTATCCCTTCTAAAGCTCCAACATTGGTACAGGTTGTATGGTGATGTTGGACGCTACCGGTACTGAAGACTAAAATGGTTGAAAAGAGGACTATTTTCTTCAAGATTACAGCATACTCCATTTTCCAGTTTAGCTTACTCGAAGGCTAAAATCCTGTATGTGTCTGGTCAACCAGCAACTTCATTTTATCTCCTAGAATAAACTCTGAAATCATACAACTTTTTGCTAGTTTATCTGAGTTCCATGATTTC